ATAGGCCTCTCTCAATTCCCTATTGAGAGGTTATATGGCAGTGTTACCGTTGCCTTATTGGATGCCCTTCCTAATCAACCTCGTTTCGGCCGCGGCGGTGATTTCCCCTACAACACCTACGTTTGACTTCTCAAGGCGATATGTCGTTTTCTCGGGCTCGAGCGAGCAGTCAGATCGCATCCAGTGCTCTTAACGACTGAGCTATCGCGGCAGTGTGTATATATATGTGTGTGTGTGTGCGTAAATAGATAGATAGATACACATACATGCATACATACATATATACTTACACACACATACATAAATACACACTTAGGCGTAGGAGCCAGGGGGCTGGGGGGGCTACAGTCTCCCCAGTCGGGTAAATGCTGGTTGAATTCGGGCAATTCTGGGCAATGGGTATAGAAATTTTAAGAAAAAGATATTGGTAAAAAGTTATATTAATGTAACATAGATACTCAGGGGCGTAGATAGGAAAATTCATAGAGGGGGCGAAAAATGAAGATATCCCGACCCGCTCTATTTACGCCACTGGTGGCATTCATCACAAATTTTCTGGCAGGTGAAATTTCTCTTCCTCTTTCACTCGGGCAGAAAAATTGCAGCCCCCCCTAAATTTTAAATGCCCCTACGCCGATGCATACATATACATAAATATACATACATATATGTAAATATATAAATGTGTATATATATGCGTGTGTGCATATATGTATGTGTGTGTGTGTGTGTATGTATATTTTGAAATATATGTGTATACATATATATGTATGTATATGTATATAGTTAAATATACACATATGTATATATGTATAGATATACACATCTGTATATCTATACATATACACATGTATATATGAGTATATACATACATATGTAAACATATTTATACGTATGTATATACAGATGTATATAAACATTTACACACAAAGTAGTGTGACTTTTATCTATTTGTGTAAGTGTTTCGTTTGCTTATAGGCTTATGAATGGTTCAAACATATTTCCAAAGTTTGACTGTCATATATTTATATGTATGTATATACAGATTTATATAAACATTTACACACAAAGTAGTGTGACTTTTATCTATTTGTGTAAGTTTTTCGTTTGCTTATAGGCTTATGAATGGTTCAAACATATTTCTAAAGTTTGACTGTCATAGAATGTACAGTATTATGATTTATATAAGGTAAATGAATTAATACAATCTATTTTCTATTCATTTTAGTTATTTATAATAAATGGCAAATGCAAATTTATTATTATTATAATCATAATCAGCGGTAATCCGATACGTTCACAATCAATGCAGATTTTCCCACCAAAACTTCGTAAAAGGTTTATTTTTTTTTAATAAATCACATGAGGTTACGATGTAATAAAATAAGATGTATAATTACAGCTCTAGACCAACAGCTTAGGAAGGACGCATAAAAGTTGGATTCTGTTGTGAATAATATACTCAAGTAATGAAAGTAGACTCTCGGTTCAAAGTATGTTAAATATAATACAAAAAACAAGAAAATATGTTGCGGCACAGACGCTTCTTGGTGTGACATACTGTCGGTCTCATTTTGCTTCTAAATTATTCCATGTGTACAAGGAATGGCCGGGTTACCATCCACTGGCGGCGAGGAATTTGAACGCAGGTAAGCAAGATTGCTAGACGAGATCGCTACCGTTGCACCACGTAGCATGTAAGAGTTATATAAACACCTCTTAAACATTGGTGACAGGGAAGTAGTAAAAGTTTAGTGGCTAAAAACTCTTTTATTGATAGAGCTAGCACACAGAGAATAAACACACACGATGACAGTCTTGGATTATGGCTGGTCACTTGGGGTCATCCGGGAAGCCCAGCCCAGCGGGCAGGTATGACCTCGACCGACCCGCGGCACACTCTCGTCACACTCTGCCCTGACAGGGCCATCCTTGGAGAATAAGTAGCGGTGATTGGAAGCCAGGGGCGTGGCTAAAGAAACTGCCAATGCCCGACCTTCGCGTGGGCGTGGCCTCCCTATTTCCTGCCCAGGGCGTGGCTCCCTGCAGCGGGCGCCCATGGGCCTGAGAATGGTCACTTTTTCCCTTTTTTGCCTCGCCCCGGGGGGTAGCCCTTCTCGGGAGGTCAGGTCAGGCCAGCTAGAGGGAGGTCAGGTCCAGATGTTGAATCTCACATAGCACACATGATCATACAACCAAGCCGAAAAATCTTAAGTGTACTGCAGCCGCTCGTACTTTTCTCCTGCATCTTCACACAGAGAAAATGAGATCCTCCCCCTCGGGCAGATGGTACTCAGACACCACAGGCTATGAGCCACCGGCACTCTCTGAAGTAATCAACGGAGGTCCTTCTTCACAGAATCAGATTAGGTTACCACTGTGCACTGAAGACCGTAGAAGCAATAGACCGTGAAGATAGGCGTTGCATGCATTGTGGCGAGCCGAACGCCACCCTGGTACACTATTTACAGAATTGTGAGCACACAATTTTTGTGATAGGGACCGCCCACAACAGTAATGTATAGATATATATACAAATATATATATATATATATATATATATATATATATATATATGAATATTTATATTGAAGAAGTTGCCACTCTATGTTCTGATGTAGTGCATTTATTTACCTCTCCTAGCTGTCAAGGAAGGTACAACTACACAGATAACAATCGTTAGGAGGGG